CCCGCCGCCCCCGCCCGCTGGCTGAGCGGCTCAGATGTCCTAGTAGCGGCGGCTGTGGAGCTCTGCATCGTCTTTCTGCGGCAGCAGGGGCTGGCCGCCCCGGCCCCTGACCGGGCCCCTCCCCAACCCCATGCCTCAGCTCTAACCCCGCCGATCTCCCCCGCGGGGGGCATTTCCCCGAGCCCCCTGCTCTCCCCGTCCAAGTCAGGAGCCATGAATGACCAGTACCACCGGGCGGCCCGGGACGGCTACCTGGAGCTCCTCAAAGAGGCCACCAGGAAGGAGCTGAACGCCCCGGATGAGGATGGCATGACCCCGACACTCTGGGCTGCCTACCACGGCAACCTGGAGTCGCTGCGCCTCATCGTGAGCCGTGGGTGAGTACCCCCCATTGCCCCCACCAAGCCCAGCAGGGGAGAGGGAAGAGAGTCTCTGGGTGGCTCCAGGCCCCTGAAACGCCCCGACCCCCACGGCATCTCCCTCCAACCCACCAGCCGCCCTCTTCCCTACAGACAGACCCTAAGATGGGACCTTGGAGCTTGGCAGTCATGGGAGGGGGACACAAGCTGAGGCGGTGACACTGGTGACCTGGATGTGGGGCTGGGAGAGGAGGGACAGGGATTTGGGGATCCATGATTGCCGGTGTGCTGCAGAGTGAGGGGAAGGTGGGAGAGGTCTCCTCGGTGAGGGGCACCTAGAAGCAAGAGTGAGGAGCAGAGTGAGGATCTGCAGCCAGAGTGGGGCTAGGAAAGGAGAGGCTCTTCACTGCCCACCCAGCAGCCTGGGGGTCAAAGTGCTCTCCCAGCCAGCACCCACCCCTCCCCACAGGCTGGCTCTCACACAGCTCTCTCCCCGCTCATTCCTGGCATTGATGGGTATGTCCACAGTACCAAATGTCACTGGGTTCAGCCATCCCATTAACTCCCTCTGTGCCTCTGCCCTACTGCAGGCTCCCACACCCTCCCTTTGGAGTTGTCTGGGGGGAGGAGTGGGTAGAGCCCAGGTGTCAGGGCCAGGGAAGGGGTTTGGAGGTAGCAGTTGAGGAATGCAGGGTCCAGGGCCGCTGAAATGGGCTTCCCGGGGCTGAATGACACTGTGCACAACTCCCCCAGCCCCAGCAGTTTTATGAAGAGAAATCTGGTTGAACTGGACACCAGGGTGGCCTGGACAGGGAAAAGGAGTGGAAGAGATGTCCCAGGAGGGTTAATAGGAACATCTCAGGCCCTGGGAAATCATGGTGGAGGGGAAGGGGCCCAGCTGGCCCTGGTGCCAGGCGCTGGCCTGTGGCCGGAGCATGTGGTGGGTGGGGATCCCCCCTTGCCCTCCCTCCAGCAGCAGGTGGGAGCAGCCCCTAAGACCAGGCAGGTGAGCCATGTTCCAAGAGGCCAAGACGGGCCCCCACCCATGCCAAGAGGGCACATAGTGATTGTGCCATCCTGTCCCCCTTCAGAGAGATTCATCGGAGGAGGGGAAGAGGGTGCCCCCTTGGACCACCAAATCCCCCACCTCCTACAGAGGGCAAGGGTTGGTGTTTGATGGGGTGTGGGTCAGATGCTGAGTAGCTCCTTCCTACGTTGTCCTGCTGCATTTAGCGACCAGTAGAGGAAGAGAAAAGGGGGTTGTGGGGGGAGCTGTTGAGACAAGGGGGTGATTCTTCCTCCAGCCCTGCGGGGTGGCCTCATGGCCTCATTAGCGCTGGGCAGAGGCACTGAGCTAGGCCCCTGAGGGAGGGGAGAGCTTGGAGGAGCCAGCAGAGCATGCTCAAGGGGGGCACAGTCTGCTGGGAAGGGTGTTGGAGGGGCTGGGTGGGTGCACTGGACAGGCGCAAGCATGCCTGCCTCACAGGGCTCCCAAAGATGGGGCAGCCCCAGGAGGGGAAGGTGGCTGGGCCCAGGTTTCAGACTTCCCTCCTCCTCTCCACCAGTCCTGGCTGCCCCCACACTCCCCTCCTCGCCCAGGCCAAGACCCGACACCTGCTCTCACACGCGGCCTTGCCAGGCCTGGCCCTGCTCCCTGCAGACATGGCAGTGCCCGCTGACACGCAGGCACATACCCTCACACACACTCACCCAGGGCTCAGGCCCAGCATACACCACCCTCTCGTCCTCTTTTACAGTCACTCCTGCACACGTAGCCACACTCACCACCACGCCTGCCTAGAGACCCAGACTCGGCCCTAGCCCACCACCTCTCTGGGCCAGCTCCCCGCTGGGCTCCATTAATAATTCACTCCTTTCTCTCTGGGCATCAAATATTTATCCCCTGACATTCCCAGCCCTCAGTTCTCTTGGGGAAGGCCCCGCCCTTGCCCCGCCTTCTCTGTCGCCCCACCCCCTGCGTGCCCGGGGCCATTTTTCCCCAGGGCTCACTCTAGGTCCGTCTGGTGGCTCAGGGCTGCCTGTGTCCCGGGGTCAGAGGAGGGGTCTCAGGCCCTCGGCTCCCTCTGGTGTGCCTGTGGGAAGCTCAACCAGGCTGGGAGTTCCCCACCCCTGCTGCCACTGCCAACTGCCTGCCCCAGCTTGCGAAGGCTCATCACCTCTCCCCGCGTGTCCTCCCTGCAGAGGTGACCCGGACAAGTGTGACATCTGGGGCAACACTCCCCTGCACCTGGCAGCTTCCAATGGCCACCTGCACTGCCTCTCCTTCCTGGTGTCCTTCGGGGCCAACATCTGGTGCCTGGACAACGACTACCACACGCCGCTGGACATGGCCGCCATGAAGGGCCACATGGAGTGCGTGCGCTACCTGGACTCCATCGCGGCCAAGCAGAGCAGCCTCAACCCCAAGCTGGTGGGCAAGCTGAAGGACAAGGCCTTCCGCGAGGCGGAGCGGCGCATCCGCGAGTGCGCCAAGATGCAGCGCAAACACCACGAGCGCATGGAGCGGCGCTACCGGCGCGAGCTGGCCGAGCGGTCGGACACGCTCAGCTTCTCCAGCCTCACGTCCAGCTCCCTGAGCCGCCGGCTGCAGCATCTGGCGCTGGGCAGCCAGCTGCCCTACTCGCAGGCCACGCTGCACGGCACGGCCAGGGGCAAAACCAAGATCCAGCGGAAGCTGGAGCGGCGCAAGCAGGGTGGCGAGGGCACCTTCAAGATCTCCGAGGACGGCCGCAAGAGCGTGCGCTCGCTCTCCGGGCTGCAGCTGGGCAGCGACGTGATGTTCGTGCGCCAGGGCACCTACGCCAACCCCAAGGAGTGGGGCCGCTCCCCGCTCCGGGACATGTTCCTGTCCGACGAGGACAGCGTCTCCCGTGCCACACTGGCGGTCGAACCTGCCCACTCGGAGGTCAGCACCGACTCAGGCCACGACTCCCTGTTTACACGCCCCGGCCTGGGCACCATGGTGTTCCGCAGGAACTACTTGAGCAGCGGGCTGCACGGGCTGGGCCGCGAGGACGCGGCGGTGGACGGCGCGGGCACGCCGCGGGGTCGGCTGCAGAGCTCCCCCAGCCTGGACGACGACAGCCTGGGCAGTGCCAACAGCCTGCAGGACCGCAGCTGCGGGGAGGAGCTGCCCTGGGACGAGCTGGACTTGGGCCTGGATGAGGACCTGGAGCCCGAGACAAGCCCGCTGGAGACCTTCCTGGCCTCCCTGCACATGGAGGACTTCGCCTCTCTCCTGCGGCAGGAGAAGATCGACCTCGAGGCGCTGATGCTGTGCTCCGACCTCGACCTCCGCAGCATCAGCGTCCCCCTGGGGCCCCGCAAGAAGATCATGGGGGCCGTGCGGAGGCGGAGACAGGCGCTGGAGCGGCCGCCCGCCCTGGAGGACACAGAGTTGTGAGTCCCCAGAGCCTGGGGGGGATGGGAAGATAGGGGTTGGAAGGCCCTGGGGCAGGGGCTGGGGGGTGGGGTGGGGATCTGCCTTTTCAGGAGTGGGAGGGGGGATAATACCGTATTTCATAAAATCTAAGTCGCCATCAATTACCAGAGGCCCCACTTATTTTATTTACCCCCAGGTGGGAAAAAGAAGCTGTCAGTTTACATTGCTAATGTAAAATGCTACTCGATTTTGGCGATATCAAAATGTGGAAAAATAGGTGTTTTAGTGTGGGTGAGATACAGTCATAGCAGTAATCACAGCCAGGATGTTTTGAGCCCTCCCAGCTCTCGGGTACCAGAGATGCCCTTGCTCGTGTCCTCTCATCTAATCCTCCCCAATTTTCATGTGCAGGGGCTGTATCGTCCCCATTTTACAGGTGAGCAAGTGGAGGTTCCGAGGTTAGAGTAGCTCACCCAAGGTCCTGCTGCTCTGTGCAGAGCTGCGCTGGATCCCTGGTCTGAGTTGCCTCTAGAGCCTGGGGACAAGGTGACTCCCATGGTATGGGGGGTGTGGCAGCCAGCTGTCTCCCCAGTTGCCCAAGCCCTCAAGGCAGATATTTTAGCTTCTGGTCTCTGAACCCTGTAACCAGGAACATGAGCAAATACTCTCAACAGGGCCTATAGTGGCCTTGGAGGGCAGAGTTGTCACTTTTTGTCTTTCTTTTTGTGACGAAGATCAGCCCTGAGCTAACATCCGTGCCAGTCTTCCTCTTTTTGCTGAGGAAGATTGGCCCTGGGCTAACATCCAGTGCCAATCCTCCTCTTTTTTGCTGAGGAAGACTGGCCCTGGGCTAACATCTGTGCCCATCTTCTTTCACTTTACGTGAGACGCCGCCACAGCATGGCCTGACAAGCGGTGCATTGGTGCACGCCCGGGATCCAAACCCGGGCTGCCAGCAGCAGACCGCGTGCATGTAACCGCTATGCCACTGGGCTGGCCCCCAGAGTTGTCAGTTTTAAGAACCCATTGTGGGAAGCTCAAGGCTCTTGCCACATTGGCTGTGCTGTTGGCCCATCCTTGCCCTGACCCTCCCTCAGGGCATCCCACAAGCCCAGCAAATGCTGCAGCCCCCTTTCGGTATTGATGGCCTTTACCCTGCATGGCCAGGCAGGGGTGGGTGTGGGGAGGCAGTCTGGTTAAGAGTTTGGGGGATGGGGAGGGCACCCCTAGGCCAGTATCCCCATCCCTGACCATCACCCTACCTAGAGAAGGTCAGTTGTCAAAACGGGCCTGGTTTAAAATGATGTCTTGAAGGCCTTTTTATCTGAGGTCTGTTTTTGTCTCTTTCTCCGCAGATAACCAGGGGTTCCTCTCCCTGGACCAAAATGAATTGCAAGTTGCCACAACCCACAGTGGGGCCATGAGGTCCTCACAGTCGCCAGCTCTGCAGCCCCCCAGCCCCTCCCCAGGAGCAAGGACCACATGGATTGTCTCCCTTGAAAGCCTGTCCACACCCTGCAGCAGAAGGTGTGGCCTGGAGGCACCCTGCAGGACAAGAGAGCGTCCTGGAACATCAATTCTGAGGGCTCTTGAAGCCCCTGAGCCACTCCCATCTCAGTGGCCCTAAAGGACATGTGCATTCACGGAAGGCCAGCCCCAGAGGAAGGGCAGGGCCCTGGGGCCTTGGGGACTAGACGATGTGCCCATTAGAGCTGATGAGAGTGTGTATGTGGCACACATACACCGGCACAGCCTGTCCCGGGGGCCATTGTCTCTTCCCACCCCTCCTCTGAGGATCCTGTTGTGTGCTCAGACTGGAGACTTGCTCATTTCCTACATTTTTGTGAAGGGAAGAGTTTGGGCTGCTTCCCCTCTGCCCATACACCTCAGAGGGGAGGTTCGCCACTAGACTCTTCTGCCAAATGCCCTGACTTTAGTCCCCACCCCTGCCCTGAGCACGGCCAGCCCCCTTTTCCTTCTCCCACTGGCCATGCCTGGGAGTTGGAGTGCCAGGCTGTGCTGGGGTGGGGGTGATTGGTGCCCTTCTGGGCTCACCTGGGGGGCGGGACCCAGCCTGAATCTGCCCTCCCCACCCTGTCCTCTTCTACCCTCCCCCTACTCGGCTGTGCAGCTGGCCCTCCCCAGGACCCTAGAGGGTCAGGGCAATAGATGCAAGGTGCTAGAGCAACTGGCTGCAGTATTATGGCCCCCAGGCCCGGCAGGCGTGCTCTGGGCTGGAGAAGGCATCTGCCAACTGCCTCAGAGTCTCCCAGGCCCGAGAAGGGTGGAGAGACGGGTGGAGACCAGGCGTGGCTGTGTCCAGCCTACTATAGGCAAGTCCTGCCACGTGGATACTGGGCGAGCCTGAGGATGTGGACAGTCTAAACTGCAGGTTGTCCCCAGATCCCCAGGGCTCTGTGTATGTGTATCTGTGTTGGGGTTGGTTGGTGGATTTCTCTTGAGGTCTGGAAGAGGTGGGCACTGAATGGTTCAGCATGGATAGTGGGTGAGCAAGAGCTCAGCATGTGTCCTTGCTCTGTGATGGTGGTGAGACCAGGGGAGAGGCCAGCCCCAGAGGGTCCTCAGACATGTGTCCTCAGAGCTCTCCAGTCAGACAGAGATCACAGATGTGGGTGAGTAACTCAGGAGCCTGCACACATACACACCCCCACGCAGATGTGCCCTTCCTCCTCTGTCAGTAGTGGACCCCCATCAGCTCCCACTGAGAACACTGCCACAGCTCCCACCTCCTTGCTGGGCCTCCTTGGTGAGGGGCAGAGGAAAGAGAACCCCCAAAGAATGCCACAGGCCTCCCTCTGGTGTGTCTGTGTGTGTGGGCCCCCTTCCACACACATGCCCAGAGCTGGGGGGTGATGGAGGCGGTCCCTGTGCCCACTCTGAGGGCTTGGTGGCCTGCCACACCACCCTGCGCCCACCCTGTCCTCTCTGTTGTCCAGGTCTGGGCCTGGGGCCCCCCAACAAGTGCCGACTCGACCTTCTTGGAGCCCCATGTGCTGCCCTTTCTCTGCTGTTCCCTGTTCATGTACTGCCTCAGCTCCTCCTGGTTCTCCCTGTGCTGGGGTGGGGCGGGCTCCAAGATTCCCACCACTGTACAATGCCCCACCCCCGCCGCAAGCTCATTATAACTTTTGTAGAGAACGTCCTGCATCGTTGTTATGCCTGTGTCTTGTTTTGTAATCATTTGGCGGTGGGGTGAAGAGAGCAAGAGGGTGGGAGTGGGAGAGGGGAGAGTCTTTGTACCTATGAGGATTTGGTCCTGTTCCTTGGAGGGGGTCCTGGGATGGCTGGTTGGGTGTGCCCCCCCACCCCCATGCATCTCTGCAGGGCCTTCCATCATCCCTGGGCCTTCACTCTGTTCTCTCTGGGCCCAGAATGTGGAGCCGATGGGGAGGGAGGATTCAGAAGAACTGGGACAGGAAAGCCTCCAGCAGCTGAGCGAAGAGGGTGGTCCAGGCTCCAGTCCTGTCCCCACGGCCTGCAGCTGCTGAGGGCAGGACGACGCTTTCCCCCTTCCCGCTGGGGCCTGCTTGGGCTTCTCCAGACATGAGCAGAAGCTGTACCCCAGGAGGCTGCCACCCATCACCCGGGCCCCATGACCCTGATCTCAAGGCCCCGGCCCACCCCTGGGAGACCCCCAGTGGGGTCTCCATTTCGCTCACCACTCAGACAGCTCTTGGGGCAGCCTTATTTAGAACCCTCCTTTCTCCCAGGGGTAAGGCTTTCCCTTAAGCTGCAGGACAATGGGCTCTGTTTTCTCAGTCAAGTCTGGGAAAGGGCCCCGGGGTCGTTTTGTTTCATTCTCTAAGGATGCTGGGCCAAGTGCTTCGGCCAAAAGGAGTTCAAGACAGCTTCCTCCCTCCAGTATTAGTCAGAAAGGTCCACAGGACCTCAGTGCAGGGAAGTTGCCTAGCAACCATCTAGGGGTTCTGGGCCACCTCCCTCCACTTTACAGATGGAAAAACTGAGGCCCGCCGAGAGGAAGGTCCAGACCCAGAACACGGGCCTCCTGACTGCTGCCACACTTTCCTCACCCCCAGGCTGCCAAGGGGGCCAACAAGATGCGAGATTCTGCCCTCGGACGCTCCATGGGGTTCGTCTAACCTGCGACCCCTACTGGCATCCTGGTCACTGCACCTACCTCACGAAAGACCAGCCAGTCCTGGCGCCGCTGGTCCGGGGAAGGACATGGGAGTGAGGACTCGCCATGACAACACAGCGGATGGGAGCTTCAGCGCAGAGGCAGAGACTAACTGGAAGCACTGGGGGCAGGAGTCTCCATGGGTCAGTGTGGCTGCAGGGTGGAAGCCTGGGGTGCAGGAGCAGGTGCCGCTGCAGGAAGCCTGAGGGGACTTTAAACACAGCAAAGGGAAGAATTTTACAGGGTAGGGACTCAGCTTTCTCAACTCATTCCCCTAAAAATTTAGATCGAGACTAGGGCAATTCTAAAAGGTTAGAATAATCAATGGTTCTTAGCCTTTGGGGATTAGAATCTGGTAATGTGGACACTTTGCCTGGAAAAATGCATACGGGGCCCCCACATACCCATTATGAGCGATTTTGCTTATAATTCCGGGCAGCTCATGGAGGCTGAGAGGTCCAGGGACCCCAGGTTAAGAAGCTTCAGTTAGACTGCTGTGAAGTTGCATCATAAATGGGACTAGCAATTTGATGGAGATGGTGGTGGAATGAATCAGAGGCAGGAAGGGCCTTGGGGCATGTGGACCAACATTCTCATTTTACAGGTGAGATAACTGAGGCCAGAGGGCACGGGGCTGACCGAAGGTCACAGAGCAGCCAAGTGGGCAAAGTAGCACTAGGTCTCCTGATGCCCTCCCTGGTGCCAGCTGCCTCCTGTTCCCATGTTAGACCAGTCTGGACAGCACGACACCCCTGTCCTCCCAGCGCACGCCTGTGTCACCTTCTCTGAGGCAAGCCTGGGTCATACAGGAGGTGGCAGGACTCAGGAGACAGCCAGATTTGGGCAGCAAAACTGGCCCTGCTCCTTCCCAGCTGTGTAGTCTTGGGTAAGTTACCCAGCCTCTCTGAGTCTGTTTCGTCATCTGTAAAATAGGTATTATGATTTATTATACTAGCAGTGTTAACCCTATAGGTCATTAGGAGGGTGAAATGATAACGTATGTAAAGCACTTAGCACACTGCCAGATAATCAGTACACATCAGTTAATAATGATCGTGGTTATGGGTGGCCGGAGACAGGCCCGTGGGGTGCTCATTGCATTTGTGGCTCTGGCCACCCAGTAGGTGAGTCCTGGGCAGTCCCAGGGAGCAGTCCTGCTTTTCCGACTCCCCAGTGAGGGTGAGCCCCCACCCCAGCAGCACACTGGCTCCTGGAAACAGCACTGGGGGGCCATCTTCATCTGACCAGTAGGGGGTGTTGACAATCCAGCCAGTGGCTAAGGAATGGTCAACTAGCCAACGGTGGGCCACCATCCAGTGGTGTTCCTGGGGTGCCCAAGGAGCTGGGCATCTTTTCTGGAGGGGGAGTCGCAGACCCATCGGCCTGGGCCCCCGTTATGCCACTATCTGACCTTCAGAGTTTATCAAAAGCTTTCCTCCTCTCATGAGGTGGGCAGGTGAGGGGTGTTAGCCCCACTCCATGGATGAAGAGATTGAGTATCAGAGAGGTTTTGTGAAGTTCCTCAGGTCCCAGTAAGTTAAGAAAAGTTCAGGGCCAGCCCTGTGGCTTAGCGGTTAAGTGCGCACGCTCTGCTACTGGCGGCCTGGGTTCAGATCCTGGGCGCGCACCGACGTACCGCTTCTCCGGCCATGCTGAGGCTGCATCCCACATACAGCAACTAGAAGGATGTGCAACTATGACATACAACTATCTACTGGGGCTTTGGGGCAAAAAAAAAAAAAAAAAAAAAGGAGGAGGATTGGCAATTGATGTTAGCTCAGAGCTGGTCTTCCTCAGAAAAAAAAAAAAAAAAGAGGATTAGCACAGATTTTAGCTCTCGGCTGATCTTCCTCACAAAACAAAACAAAACAAAAAAAAAAGAGAAAAGTTCAGGCTCCCTCAGCTGGGTCCCTTTGGCCGCCCCCGTCCCAAGAGGTGAGCCCTCAAGTTTTACTGTCAATTACTGAGAGCTTACAGGGTGTCAGGTGCTTAGGTTAAGCACTTTACATACGTTTAACCCTCACAATAAAACCACAACCCGATAAAACAAGGACTATATTATTATTATTATTGCTGTTTTACAGGTGGGAAAACAGAGTCAGAGCAGTGATATGACTTGCCCAAGGTCACAGAGCTATCAGGTGGACGGACATGTCCGTGGTACTGAAACCCGCATGCCTCGCCACAGTGCCATATTGGCCCCCAAGCACTTGTAACCTTTGCTGGGGGTTGTCTTCGATCTTGAATCCCCTTGACCTGGGCATACCTGGTCCCGGGCAGGTGCCAGACTCAGCCTGAGGTGGGGTAGGGCATGCTGGCAGCTTCAGCAGCCCAGGCACATGGTCTGACCCACCTGCCCTGGGAGGCTGGGCAGAGAGAGCAGGTCGGGTCATGGGGTCACTGGGTAGGAGACTGGGGGCCTGTTTGGGAGGGTGAAAGCTTCATGTCTTGAGCCTGCTGAGATGGGGGAGCAAGCCTGCAGAAGCATTTCATCCCAACCAGAGTCTGCCTGTCTCCCTTTCTGTCTTCCTGTCTCTCCGTCTCTCCTTGCCCCATTTCTCCCTGTAATG